AGCCCTCGTACTCATGAGAACGTAGAATTAGGCACAGTGAAGCACAGTGCAGTGCATATCCCCACCAAACTCCGGTGCAACGTGTACCCCCACCAAACTCTTCCTGAACCCCTGGGGGTACGCATACCACACTTTGGGAAACACTGGTTTAAAGGATTTGTCCAATGGTGATAGTGGGGTATTAAAATCTCTGACTATGATTGTATTGCTGTTAATCTCTCCTTTGGTATCCTCCAGGAGGTTTTTTTTTTTGTTTTTTTTTGTTTTTTTGTTTTTTGTTTTGTTTTGTTTTGTGTATTTTTTTATGTATTTGGGTGCTCCTGCATTGGATGTATACATGTTTACCAGAGTTATTCCTTCTTGTTGGATTGCTCCCTTTAGTATTATGAAGTGGCCTTCCTTATCCCTTGTTATGTCCTTCACTTTGAGATCTAATTTGTCAAAAATAAGTATTGCTGCCCAGCTTTTTTTTTTTCTTTTTCATTCACCTGGAAAACCTTTTTCTATCCCTTCACCCTCAGTCTGTGTGTGTCTTTTTTTTTTTTTCCTGAGGTGGATTTCTTGTAGACAGCAGATATATGGGTCTTGTTTTTTTATCCAATCTGTTACCCTACGTCTTTTAATTAAAGAATTTAATCCGTTTACATTTATTATTGATAGGCCTTTTTTACTCTATACCCCTGTGTTCTTTCTTCACTTTCTAGTTCTTTTTCTTTTCTTTTCTTTTAATTTACAGCAGACCCTTTAGTATTTCTTGCATTGCTAATTTGGTGGTAATAAATTCCCTTAGTCCTTTTTTGTCTGTGAAGCTTCTGATTTCACCTTCAATTTTGATTGATAGCCTAGCTGAGTACAGTATTCTTGGATTCAGGCACTTCCTTTGCATGACTTTGTATATTTCATTCCATTCCCTTCTGGCCTGATGAGTTTCTGTTGAGAAATAAGTTGCTAGTCTGATGGGCGTTCCTTTGTATGTAACTTTCTGTCTCTCTCTGGTCACTTTTAAGATTCTTATTTTGTCATTGGTGTTTGCCAATTTAATTATAATGTGCCTTGGATCAGTTTTTTGGGGGGTTCATTTTGCTTGGGACTCTATGAATTTCTTGGATTTGTGTGGTTTTTTTCTTCCCAATATCAGGGAAGTTTTCTTTCATTATTTCTTCAAACAGGTTTTCTATTTCTTGCTCAGTTTCCTCTCCCTCTGTAATTCCTATTACGTGAATGTTGTTGGTTTGTGTGTGTGTGTGTGTGTGTGTGTGTGTGTGTGTGTGTGTGTGTATGTGTTGTCCCAAAGTTCCCTTAGGCTCTCCTCCTGCTTTTTAATTATTTTTTCTAGAAGCTGCTCTATTTGGGTATTTTTTTCTATCTTGTCTTCCAGGTCACTGATGCGGTCCTCTGCTTCTTCTAATCTACTCTTGATGCTTTCTATTGAGTTCTTTACAGCAGTGATATCATTTTTCATTTTCATCTTGGTTCTTCTTCATTTCATCTTGGTTCTTACTCATATTGTTGAATTTATCTTCCATTCTTTTCAGCCACCTTATGACCATTTCTCTGAATTCTTGCCCTGATAGTTGCTTGTCTCTAATTCGTTTACTTCCTTTTCTGGTGATGCCTGCTTTTCTTTCATATGCGAGCTGTTTCTTTGTTTCCCCATAGTCTCTCTTCTCAGGATGTCTGGTTTTGTAGTTTTCTCCCTCCTGCATTGATTTAAAGGTACAAAATACAACACAGCCAGTTACAGCACACAAGGCACTGACCAGTGATGTATTCTCGATATTAATAACCTACAATAATGGTGACCACCAGAGAAAGCAAATTATGGGGTAGGAGAGAAAGAAGAGCAAAAAGGAAGGGGAAAAAAAAAAAAGAAGTTTCAAAATGAAATTGGGAAAAGGAGAAGGAAAAAAAGAGACTAGAATGAGACTAAGAGAGAAAAGAGGAACAAATTTTATATATGGGAAGAAACTCCAATAGAACAACCATTAATCACAGCAAATGCCAGCAACAAGTACCTGGAGATTAATACAACCTACAACACCAACTAATATCAAGCGAGGAAAGGGAAAACAGAAGTAAAAAACAAACTAAAACACAGCAAACAAAAACAAACAATCAAACAAAAAGAATAAGAAAAACAATCACACAAAAAATCATAAAACTTTGATATAGTTAACATGCAAACAAACAACTACAAAAGGACAGAGAGAAAAACATTTTTTTTTTTTAATTTAGGACAGCGAAAAGAGAGGTGTGTATGGACTTGGAGCAGGGGGTTGGATATTAGATATATAAGTAGGGTGAAATTTTAGCACGAGGTAAACAGAAAGAATAGGGAAAATCTAGAGCAGGAAAGGGTTAAGATAAACAGGTCACCAAAAGGGGAAATATTAGGAAAAGAGTGATAGCATAAAGGTTGAGTTGAGATAGAATAAAGCAATGGTGAACGAAAGGTGAAAATAGACTGTAGAACACTAATTCCAAAGTAAAATAAAGAGCAAATAAAATGACACTTTAAAAAATAAATAAATAAATAAATAAATAAATAAATAAGGTAAAATAGTAGTATTAATAATGCTGATTACAAATAAAAATGTAATAATTAAAAAAGTAAGGTAAAATCAAGTGAGAAAAAAGAAGACAAATACTTTCTTAAGTAAATGTTGCAAATAATGAAAATAAAAACAAAAATTTAAAAATTAAAAAAAAATGTGCAGTAGTAAAGGCCATTCACTTCCTCTATCATTCTGTTTGGCACACCTGTTTCCCAGTCCAGACAGTATTTCAGTTTCCTGCATTTCATTGCTCCCCAATGTTGTAATCCAGTCTTGATTTTAAAGCAGGTGGTGTCTTAATTTCTGGTATTTATTTATTTATCTATCATTTATTTTTATTTTTTATTATATTAGAGTCAATTTGTAATTCAGCCTCTGGGTGGCAGTGTTTCTGGGTCGACTTCCAGGACTCTAAGGCCTCTCTAGCTTTTTTTCTCTGTGACACTCAACTGGTTTGCAGAGGCTGGTGGGCAAGTCCAAACAGACCGCACACCCCTGAAACTCTCAGGCTATCCCTGCATCAAATCAAAATGGCTTGCTCTTTAGAGATTCCCTCTGTTAGCAGCTCTGAGGAACTTCTTCCACAATCACGGATCACAGTAACCGCTGAGCAGCTGTGAGCCCCAAAACACTGGTCCCAGGTGGTGCGAACACTTGGACTCAAAGAAGCTCTCCACTCAACCATGGAAAGGTCATATTTCACAGGGATAGGGTAAGGGCTATAGTCCTGGCAGAAGACAAAAATGCGTGCACTGAACACTGTGGACACTGGAGGACCGAGGAGGTGTTTGCCTGGAGAAACCCCAGGCTGTTGTCAAGGGCTAAAGACAAAGAGAGAATCTTAAAAGCAGCAAGAGAAAAGCAGTTAATTACCTATAAGGGAGTACCAATATGACTATCAGCTGATTTCTCCACAGAAACTATGCAGGACAGAAGGAAGTGGTAACCACGGTTACTCTCCCTAGCAAAGCTATCATTTGGAATTGAAGGTCAGATTCACAAGAAAAAGCTAAAGGAGTTCATTACCATCAAACCAGTACTACATAAAATGTTGAAGGGTATTTTTTAAGAAGAGGAGAAAAATGAAAAGGAAGAGGAGGAAGAAGAAAAAGATAAAGATAAAAAAAATGAACAATAAAGTGGCAAAAAATATATATCAACAATTTAACCTAAAAATCAAAATAAACTAATAAGAAAATTAATGAACAGAATAAACTGCTGAATGAAATAGAATCAGAGACATAGAAATGCAACAGACTGATAATTTTCAGTGGGAAGGGGGTAGATGGGGCAAGATAAAAAGATCTCATATGCATATATGCATTAACTGGACACATACAATAGAGTGGGAAAGACATGAGGTGGAGTGGGATCTGGATGAAGGGGGGACAGGTGGGGAAGAATATCTGTAATACTCTCAATAATAAAGATAAAATAATAATAATTATTATTATTATTATTATTATTATTGACAAAGTATTTTACATTTTAGGATTTTCAGGTTACATGTTTCCAAAATTACATTTAGTGAAACCCACTTTATGCATAATACCTTTTTTTCTGAAAGCTATTCTCTTCATATAAAATTATACAGATAATTTTTCATTGTATTTCAGTATGGTAAAGAAGATGAATAACCATGCACAAGAGGTATTTATGGGCCAAGCCTAGATCTGGCTCCTACTAACACACCCTCCCTCCAAAATACATGCTTTTTTTTTTAATCTAAACATGGTTATATGGCCTCCTAACTACAATGACTCATATGAAGATAGTCTAGCTATGTACTACTTACTCTCTGATGACAGTAACTCTCATTTTGAAATTTGAAAGAGTGAACATTAAATAAATAATGACATTGTTACCTATAAAAAGATTCTGTTTGGTATATAAGTCAATTAATATGTATACATTTACAAATGTAATCTACATGCTAATTTTATTTTTATTTCTTGTTTTTGTCTGACTATATAAAAGAAGAAAATAATTAAAGTTTAGTAAAAAATATATATATTTACTAATATATATATATATATATTACATATATATGTAATATATATATGTAAAAAAATATATATAGAGAGAGAGAGAGAGAGAGAGGCTAGACAGCAAACATTTGAATTCTGACTTCATCATTTACTGGCTTTGTGACTTTTAATTTATATAATCTTTCTGAGCTTTATTCATGTTTGTACTTATAAAATAGTGTATCATTATATTGTTCTGAGGATCAAATATAAACTGGGCAGCCTAATATCTTGTATTGAGCTTAAGGAGGACTCACTGGTAGCTTTGGTAATATTTTTTTTCTACATTTTATTTTTCAATTACAGTTGGCATCCAATATTATCTTATATGAGTTTCGAATATATATCATAATGGTTAGGCAGTTATATACTATGCCAATTTTTAAAAATTTTTAAATTTATGATCTTTCTTTTACAGGAACACCAGATGCATTTTCCCAATTACTCACCTGCCCGTATTGTGATAGAGGCTATAAACGCTTTACCTCTCTAAAAGAACACATTAAATACCGCCATGAAAAGAACGAAGATAACTTTAGTTGCTCTTTGTGCAGTTACACTTTTGCATACAGAACCCAACTTGAACGTCATATGACATCACATAAATCAGGAAGAGATCAAGTAAGTGAAATAACTAAGCTCACTAGCTCTCCAAATGTTGAGAATTCATCTCTCCATAAAAGGAAAGGGTTTTAATATACTTAAAAGTTAAAAAGATGTGCTAGATAATGTCTTATATGCAGCCTTATAAAAATTAAAGTGATTCTTTTAATTATCTGGTTATTTCTGAGCTACAAATCACATGTGATAATGATTTTAAAGGTAACTAAGTATTTTCTTTTTCAGATAAGATCACTTTCATCTCAATTTAATTATTTTGCTTATACTTTCCTAATATGTAAAAACCCTGGGTCCTTCACGACCAGAGGCTCGACCAACGGGAAGTCAGTTCTGCAGTCAGTGCTGGTTGCCATGCAACCAGTCAGTCCTGCAGTCAGTGCTGGTATGGCAGCAGGGGGCTGTGAATCAGGCCTGGAGAGAGGCCTGAAGAGAGAAGCAGAGTCTGATCCATAGCCTCTGTGGCAGATGTTGATCAGTACTTGCCTCTCTCTTTCCCTCTAGACCTGGCCAGCAGCCACATCTCCATTTCTCTCCAGACCTCCACCCCGACAGTTGATCAGGCCTGCTGATAGGCCCAGAGATGCTGACTAGCATAGAAACTGACGAATCAGAACCAAATCTGGATGAAGTGTGAGAAGCCAATTGTTGCCTAGGAGGCAGAGCTTTTGATGCTGACTGGCATAGAAACTGATGAATCAGAACCAAATGGGCTGGCAGAGGAGGGCAGTTGGGGGTGAGATCAGGCCTGCAGGGGAGGGCAGTTAGGGGTGATCAGGCAGGCAGAGTCAGTTAGGGGTGATCAGGCCAGCAGAGAAGGGAAGTTGGGGCAAGATTAGGCCAATAGGGGAGGTCAGTTGCTGGGAACCAAATCTTCAGGGGAGGGTAGTGGGGAGGTTAGATCAGGTCGGCAGGGGAGGGCAGTTGGGGGTGACCAGGCCAGCAGGGGAGGGCAGTTGGGGGCAACCAGGCTGGCAGGGAATGGCAGTAGGGAATGACCTGACTGGCAGGGGAAGGCATTTGGGAGTGATCAGGCCAGCAGGGGAGGGCAGTTAGGTGTTAATCAAGCTGGCACGGAAGCAGTTAGGAGTGATCAGGCTAGCAGGCAGAAGCGATTAGGAGCAATCAGGCAGGCAGGCAGGTGAGCCAGCAGTCCTGGATTGTGAGAGGGATGTCCAACTGCCCAGGGGGATAGGGCCTAAACTGGCAGACATACATCCCCCAAGGGGTCCCAGATTGCAGAGGGTGCAGGCTGGGCTGAGGGACAATGAATTTCATGCACTGAACCTCTGGTAACAAATATTTCTCAAGTTTATAACTAGATTTCATAATGCATTGTATTAAAATGTTCAGTGTAGGAAAATAAATATTGATTACATAAACCACATGACTTACTACTAACCAAATTTAAAAGGAAAATAATGATAAAGTTTTAATTTTTTGTGAACCACTGACTCTTTATTCTCAGTGTAAGCTATAGTGAATAAGGGAAGTTGCTTCCTCTGAGAATCTAAAGTTTAGATTCCAATACATTTTTATTCTGAAGACTCTATTTTCATATGGTTTTTATTTAATACATAAAAATGTATTCTACTTCTATGTCACTTTACCTCAATTTCTAGAGGTATAAACCAGGATTACTCTATAAGTATTAAGTTACATGTAAACTGTTGGCTCTATACTTAAGGATTAAAGTAAAAGAATCTTCCCAGTTATGCTTCTTTTATAAGGTCTTAATAACTATCAACTATAAACAATCAATTGAATATCATTAAATCTAACTTAAAAAATCAATTATCCAACTTCAGGGGCTATGTCAAGGCTGTATGTTGTGGTTGGGGCACATGTTCATTTTCTTATATGAAAGAAAATATCTATATATTATACATGAGTCTCTATGAACTTTGCCCTATGATTGTACCTAATTTAAGTCATCTGTCCAATAGAGAACACATTAGACCCTTTGCTAACGTGATAGGTAAACCAAAATACCAAGCAAAAAAATTATGGAAAAATAATAATTGAACATGGTCAGCCTGTGTTCTCAGGACTTCAGCAACAATACTCACAGAAGCTGGGGGTTGGGGACTGGCAAATCAGGTACTATAGGACCAGGATTGCCTAGATAGGTTAATGATTAAGTGTGTGAAGGAGCACTTGAAATGGGAGAGAGTACCAAAGGGAAAAAACTGGTGCAGAGAAGAAACTGCTGAAGACAAACACCATCTATTGTCCATCTTACCCTATTATAGTCTTATTAGAAACAATACAGACAAGTGCTCTTTCTATCTGAGAGTCCTCAGGTAACCAGAGGATAGATGGGCCTCGGTAAAAGAGCCTATTCAATGACATTTGGGGAGCAGATTTATCCTACAACTTCCGTCCCCATATACTCTCTGTACCAAGGGCCTTTGTCAAAGGAAAGGATCTCCAAAGGAGAGACAGAACTGGTAGTGAAAACAGGAGATGCCATTATAAAAGCAAATCATAAGATCTCTGATGAGCATGAAACCCCCTTTTTGATAGGTGCAAAGGTAATAGGTTTATATATAAAGGTATGTGGTCAAACTAAGATCAGAAAGGAATTGTGATACATTTGGGGACCAACAAAGTATAGAAATATAATTGGAATGTCTTGGAAACTAGTTAAAAGGATGCAAACTAGAGGGCAGAATGTCTAGCATGCTGGCTTTTGGAAATCATGCCACAACTCAAAGGTAAGCATTCCCATGTCGTATTCATTTATTCATCCAACAACTATTTGAGTTTCTATCATGTGTCAGGCCCTGTTCTCAGTGTTAAAGGCACAATAGTGGAAAAGATGAGCAAAATCCCTGACAGTAGGGTGGTACAAAAGTAGGTTTTCAGTTGTGAGTATGCAAGGCATAGAGTTAATTCTTGTACTAGAGGCCCGATGCACAAAATTTGTGCAAAGACTTTGTCCCCTGCCACTACAAGGGCCACCTCTGCCGCAGCCCCACACCGCAGCTTTGTCTGGAAGGAAGGACGTCCAGAGGGACATCTGGTCTGATTAGCATATTATTCTCTCATCATTATACTAGTAGATTATTATTTATTACTGTGTTTTCCATAGGAACAACTGTGTACCTACTTTTGCACTACCCTGTACTAATGTGATATGAAACAGATAAAAAAATATCCAAAACAGGTAGTATGAAGAAAAATAGCATAAGAGGATAGAAAGTGATGAAAATCACTGTTTGTTAGAGAATAGGAGACCTTTCTGAGAATGTGCCATCTGAACTAAAACCTTAATGAAATGAAGAAGCCAGTCATGGATTGATTGGGGGAAGGACATTCCCCTCAAAGGGAGCAGACTGAAGCGTGAAAAGACCTTGAGGCAGAAATCTGTATGATGCCACCAAAGAACAGTCAGGAGGCCAGTGTGAACAAAGGGGAGAAAGAAGGTGAGGCCCAGGAGTTATGGGGAGGCAGATGAGGTAGCTGCTCGAATAGGCCATAAATAAGACTTTTGATTTTATTCCCAAGTGTGATAGGGAAGCCTTTGAAGGATATTGAATTTTAACTTTACTTATTTGTTGTTGTTTTTTTGTTTTTTTAAGGGAGAGGGAGAGAGAGAAGCATCAATGATGAGAGAGAAGTGTTAATCAGCTACCTCCTGCACATCTCTTACTGGGGATCAAGCCTGCAACCAGGCAGCTGTCCTGATGTGGAATCAAACTGTGACCTGATTCATGGGTCAATGCTCAACCACTTAGCCATACCAGCCAGGCATTCACTTTTTTTTTAAGGGGACACTGACTGTTGGGTAGAGAATAGGTCAAGAGAGACAACAATGGAAGCAGGGAGATGCTATTGCTGAAGTCCAGGCCAGGGGTAGTTGATTATTTAAACTTGGTGGTGGTGACAGACTATCATTTAATGAGGAATGGTGGATTCAGAATGTATTCATTTGGCTTGCTGGTGGAATGGGTAAGGAGATAAGAAAAAGAGAGTGTTTGAGGATTACTTCCAAGTTCAGGGCCTAGGCAATAAAAAAATGAGAGTGTTATTTACAAAGATAGGAAACACCAAAGAAGGAAACTGATTTTCAGGATAGAAGTTAAGAGTTTACTGGACAATGTTTGTCATGTTGACAGATGCCTATCACTTTCCAATATCAAGGAATATCCAGGAAGCAATTGGCAATAAGAGTCTGGAGTTGAAGGGAAAGGTCTAAAGATATAAATTTGGGAATTGTCATCATATGTTCAGTATTTTAAGCCATGGGTTTGAATGAAGTAGGGCCTGATACATAGTAAGTGCATATTTTCTTTCCTTCCTACATGAAAGACAAAAGAAAGGACATTTTAGTTCCGATGAGCATGAGGCGAGTAGTACTTGAGTTAAGCTTTTGAAAGATAAGTAGAATTTTAAAAGTAATAATTAAAAGGAAACATAGCCAAGAAATTGGGAATAGTATAAATCAAAGCAAGGAAAAAAGAAGAGCACTGTATGTGCATAAAACAGACTCAAAAAATGACTAAGGCAGGAACTTTTAGAGAACTTTTAAAGCATAAGCCTTCAAACTCAGGAGCTAAGAACTTGCAATCTGTAGACCCAGAATCTGTATTGCTGGGAATCCTTTGGAGGTTTTTGAGCAGGATTTGATTCAATTCAAGCAATTTTGAGTTGGTTTGTTTTTTAGGGGCAGGGAAAGTTATTTTTTATTTAGAGCTTTATAACCCCAAGCAAGACATGAGAGCTGGTTTAAGAAGAGATTGCAATTTTGAAACAAGAAATCTGTACAACTCCTCCAGGCAAGTGGCTGTGAAGGAAGTAGCTGTGTCTCAGAAACTTATTCCCATAGGTTCTTAACACTTTTGTATCCCAGGCCCCAATATTTACAAAGTCAGGCATTTTGCCAGCTCAAATCAATTCAATGTTTTTCTAAGATTATGGGTGTAGGATATATTTGCAATACATAAAGTAGAGATTTGATGAATCAGACATAAAGCTATTATACTCATATTTGGCTGGAAAATAACTTTTTTTAAAATCATCAAATTAAAGTACAATTTAGAAATATCAAACATATAAGAGGATAAAATATAAAAAATAAATAAATAAATAAATAAAAAGCCCAGCCTTATCTCCTATTCAGGAGCTCTTGTTCTTCTATTGAGTAACTGCTTTAGACAGGTTATTGAATGTTCTTGACCTCAATTTTTTTATCTGCAAATTAGAGGGCTAATCTCTACAGTTCCTAGTAAAAAAAAAAAAAAATATATATATATATATATATATATATATATATATATATATATATATATATATATATATAATTTTTGCCAAATGCTATTATTGCTGATACTTTAAATTAGAAGTGTAGATTTTTCTCTATGTCAAAATTCTGTTCCCAGTATCACCCTCCTTTTTGCTAATATTTCAAACATTAGGTTACAAAAAACTGCTATAATTTGAGACCTTTCAGAAACAAAATAATCACCAGAATATTTTAGCAAATTGAATGTTCTTTATATTTTTGCTTTATAAATAAAATGCCCATTCTTTTTTACAGAGACATGTGACACAGTCTGGAGGCAATCGTAAATTCAAGTGCACTGAATGTGGGAAAGCTTTCAAATACAAACACCATCTAAAAGAGCACTTAAGAATTCACAGTGGTAAATATTTGTTATCTTCCTACACCTTGAATACTATAGCATACAGGGAAATAAATATTATAACATGTGATCTGCACATATGATTAGAACTCCTTGCTTTCTTTTAGGATGCAGATGAATCCAGAGAAATTTTCAGTTTGTAAATGATATTTTATTGGAGTTTTAATCTTTGACTAAGGTATATCAAGTTATATAATATGGCACATTCAAAATTTCCTTATCAGAATTACATGTACAGCCTAAAAACATTTCAGCTTTCTGATGATTTGGCCTCTTTTGCACAGTTAAGAATGAAAAAGGATATAGAGGTACAATTTGCACAAGGAAATAAGGAGATGAAGACATTATTTACAAAACAGAAGTAGAAATGGAACTTCAGATAGGAAATGCTGAGAGGTGATGTGGAGTCAGCAAGGGAATATAGCATGAGGGAAGAGGGAACCTACAGTATGAATGAGAACAGAAAAGAAAAATGGGTCTCCATCATTTCAACTTCCTATTCCACATCATTTTCTGAATCATTACTTATAAAATGAACATTATTATATGATAATAATATTATGTCTCTTATAGAAAAATAAAAACAAAGATGAGAAGGTGGTGGTGAGGGGTGGAGAGTGATTAACCAGGGAACTTTATAAAACCCATAGATACAGACAATAGGGTGGTGAAGTGAGGGGAGTGGGTCAATGAGTAAACAAACAAAGGGGACATTTGTAATACTTTTGATAATAAAGGTAAATAAATAAATATTTTAAAAACAAATATATTTGCATTTCTTCAGAGGATCTATTTGAACAAAAGCTATAGAGAAAACTTAGCACCCCACATTGCACTAGAAAATGTTAGTCTCCCAATTAATTTGATGTGTGATTTTAGATTTAAGTAATTTTAATGAAAATATGTATTAGCTAATAAGTGGGAAATTATTTGCACATTGCTTATTTTGTGGAAATTGTTATATTAGCATTTACATTTTAGAAACATCAATCTACAAAAAGAGTACAGCTAGGTAACTTTATAAGAGGTAGTTTGTGATACCTGTATATTATTTTGAAACTTCAAATGTTCTGGATGTTTTACTGTATTGCTCATTAGAGGCTAAATAATGTTAAAGGCAAAGGCATCACTTAAAAATTCTCAAACAAAAATTCTTACAAAAACATTTATTTTCACACATTAATGTTTCTGGAAAGTAGAGGTTTTCTTTTGTAGTCTGTCACATAATCCTATTTCTTACCTTCTGTTTTCATTTCAATAATACTAGAGGTCCAGTACATGAAATTTGTGCACGGGAGAGGTGTGTGCCCCTCAGGCCAACCTGCACCCTCTCCAATCTGGGACCCCTAGAAGGATGTCCTTTTTGCTGGGATCGGGACTAAACGGACAGTCTGACATCCCTCTCACAATCCAGGACTGCTAGCTCCCAACCACTCACCTGCCTGCCTGCCTGATTGCCGCTAACCATTTCTGCCTTCCAGCCTGATCATCCCCTAACCACTTTCCTGCCAACCTGATCAATGCCTAACTGCTTCCCTACCAGCCTGATCACCCCCAACTGCCCTCCCCTGCAGGCCTGGTCACCCTTAATTGCCCTCCTCTGCAAGCCTGGTAACACCTAATTGCCCTCCCCTGCAGGCCTGATTGACCCCAACTGCCCTCCTCTGCCGGCCCAGTCACCCCTAACTGCCCTCCCTTGCTGTTCTGATCGCCCACACCTGCCCTCCTTTGCTGGCCATCTCATGGAGGCCATCTTTGACCACATGGAGGCAGCCATCTTGTGTGTTGGAGTGACAGTCAATTTGCATATTACTTCTTTATAATATAGTATATTTTTAATAAACCTCTCTTCTACCAGAGATGATTTGAAGTTGTTGATAGAGTTACAGCTAATTTGGGAGGGCTTTTTTAAATGTGGAAATGGGGAAGAGGAAGGAAAGTAAATCTTAGAGTAAAATTAATGTACAAAGTGAAAGTCATATGATCCTGTTGCAATTGAGTAACAGAATTTATCAGATCTATAGATGATACAAAGCTGGAATCATGGCTCATACCAAAGATTATAGTACAGATCTGGAAGTAAGTTGATATTTAATCACATGATCCTACATGTATATTCAACTGTCAATGTCAATCAAGCAGTAAGTAGGGAGCTACTGTATATAGTACTATAGAAAAATTTTAGGAGTTTGGATGGTCAAGAGCTTTATCTAAGCTAACAATATGCTGCTGCTGTTTAAAAAACTAATGCAGCCCAGCCGATGTGGCTCATGGTTTGACTCCAGGTTAGGGCACAAGCTTGGGTTTCAGGCAGTAAGAAACCTGCAATCAGTAACCAAGACCAGAGTCCATGAGTAAAAAAAAAATCTGTTGCTAGGAAAAGCATACTTTTTCCTGATAACTATAGAGAAACTTGTTCTTTGAAGCATCATAAGAAAGAGCAAAATATAATTTATGTCATCCTCAGAAATATACTTAATATGGTGGAAAAGTTGATAGAATTTTATTGTTAAAATAATATTCTTCCACACAATCCAGTGATATTTCACCAAAGTGCAATTAGGAAAAAGCATTCCAAAGGAAAATGTTGAGCAGGGATATTCAGTGTTACCCCAGAACTGGTAACAATTTGCAAGCTAGTTATTACTGGTTCTTTAAATACTGTAACAAGAGGAAGCTTTACAAGCTGTTATATATCAAGACAATATTGTGACAATTTCATTTTATTTTACACAATGTTGGTCTATAGTAGTTTGTAAATTTAAAATAAAAAAATGAAAGAAAAAACACAAGTGGTCCTTCATCATAAATCACTGTTTAAAGTATCTAATAATGGATGATTGTATATCCTTCAGTAAACTTTTTTAAAAGTATTAGGATCATGGTTCTCAATTATAGTCCCTAAAATTATATTGATTGGTGCTATCTTCTGATACCCATAAAATGAGCCCTCTGCAGAGTTTTGTGTTAGCCATCATTTGAGCTCTGCATGTGGGAATTAAGCTGTAAATGGAGCAAGAAGCCACCACACTTCAACTCTGAGGTGAGACAAAATAGCACCTGCACATGGGCTATAATCCTCCCCAGAAAATAACTTGGATTTGTTCCATAACCTTATATTAATTTTAGCTTGGAAAATTTTTACATCAGATGTAACCAAACACCCATCTCTTAAAAAAAGAAACAATCTTAATTTTCATAGTACATCTAACTTTGAGCAGCACAACTTACTGATGTCACCTCCAGGGTTTGATAGTTGCAAACACTAATCTAAATTGATAAATTAAGTGATGTACTTTAGCTATACACCATAAAGCTATGAAGTTAGAAAGTAGGGGTTTTCTAACAAACATAGTGACTTTGGCTTTCAAATAATTGTTGTACAGACTTTCTAACAAAAAATATTAGAGTATTCCCAACAATAATGATAACTACCGTGTTTCCCCGAAAATAAGACCTAGCACATGGAAAGATAAGACATCCCCTGAAAATAAGACCTAGCGCAACTTTGGGAGAAAAAAATTAATATAAGACACTGTCTTATTTTCGGGGAAGCAGGGTAACATACATTGAACACTTAACTATGTAAAGCCACATTCTAGTTATTTGTATTTATTTGTGTGTAGTCCTAATAATAACTCTATAAGGTAGATGCTGATGAGAAAAATGGAGTCTCAGAGAGCTTAATTAACTTTTCCATAGTCAATTAACTAATGCATCCTGACTTCAAAGCCATTGTCTTTACCCATTGTTCTTCTCTACCTCCCTGTTTGTAAAGATAAGAATAAGCTATATTGTAGATGCTTATTTTCCCAGTGAGCAAGAGAATTAAGAGAGCAAGAGAACAAACATGTAGCTCATCTAAAAATGCTGTCAAATGATTTAAAAATGTAAAAATAGAGAAATGCTAGACCATATCCCTTATTTTACCATTCCTAGAAATATTTATCTGATGCATTTTGAGCATTGACTCACATTCCAGGCATCCTATTGGAAAGATATTGATAAATTGGAAAATTTCCAGAGGTGAGTTAACAAATGGGTGAGGGCTCTAAAAGCCATGTCCCATGAGTGTTTAATGATGTACATATGACAACTCTTTATCAGTTTGAAAGTCTGGCTTGTAGAAGAAAAATTGGACTTGTTCTGTGTGACATTAGAAGGGCAAACTAGCACAGGGAAGTAAATAGGCATCATAGCAAAATGACTGAACCTGTATGTCAGTAGAATGCTTCTTAAAAGAATCACTAACATTTAGTGAGAGCACCCTAAGTTTCACTGTATTATCTATAATAATAAAGCCCATGAGGCACTTGCATGTGACATCATCACAATATGGCCATCACAAGATGGCCACATGCATAGTGGAGGCGGGGCCCAGCAGCTACTTTACACAATGAGGCCTGGGAGTCCCGCAGCTCTGCACAGCGTGGAAGAGGCAGCCCTGGTGTCTCCGCCACCTCGCACAGAGGAGGCAGGTCCCAGCAGAGGAGGCGGGTCATGAAAGGGGAAGGCAGTTGTGGGCAATTAGGCTGGCAGTGGAGCAGTTAGGCATCAATCAGGCTAGCAAGGGAGCAGTTAAGGGCAATCAGGCAGGCAAGCAGGCGAGAAGTTAGGAGCCAGTGGTCCCAGATTTTGAGAGGGATGTTCAACCCCTGTGGGATTGGGCCTAAACCAGCCGTTGGACATCCCCTGAGGGGTCCCAGATTGGAGAGAGTGCAGAGTGGGTTGAGGGACACTCTACCCCCCCACCCTGTGCACAAATGTTGTGCACCAAGCCGTTAGTCTTATCTGTCTATCTATTTATCTATCTATCTATCTATCTATCTATCTATCTATCTATCTATCTATCTTATCTATCTATAAAAGGCTAAGTGACCATCTATCTGACTGATCAGCCAGTACATATGATGCGCACTGGCAATTTAAAAATAAATGTTGACTTACGCTTGCGCGATACATATAAACTCTCACTGGTGCCAATCACACGCATGTGTTTCAATCTATCATTGTCAACTGTGAATTTGATTGTTCTTGTTGACATTCAATGTGAATCACATTGTGATTTATTTATCATCTATCCCACCGACCAACTGGACAGTACATATGATGGCGCACTGGCAATTTAAAAATAAATACTGACACATACATGTTACATATAAAGTTCTCACTGGTGCCAATTGCATGGGTGTTTTAATTTTATAATACTACTAGTAGTCTGGTGTATGAATTCATGCACATTGAAAGGAAATTAATTAGAAGAAAGATTTGTGTGGTAATCACATTAATGTAAAAAAATTACATGTCAAAATAGTATATATGATGTAGTATTATAAAATTAAAATACAAAATATTTTAATATCACTATTAAAATTCACCCTTTCTCTATAATAGAAGTGTCAGAGATGAAAGAAAAGCAGTAAAATGTATATGAAAATAATATATAAATTGATTAATTAATAAACAATTACAACATGATATAAAAACAAGGACATTATATAAAAATGACAAAAACAACATTGATGAAAACAATGATTGATAAATTGATTAATAAATAACAACATGATATAACAACAACAAAGACATGATATAAAAACAAAAACATGATATAAAAACAACATTGTTCAAAACAATGACTGATAAGTTGATGAAGCTTATTCTAATATCTTCGTGCACAACACATTAAGAGTATAAACACTTTCAGAGTGCTTGACTAATTTCCTTTGTGATGAAGTATTTACAACTTTAACTTTTTTTAATTTAATTTTATTGTTTAAAGTATTACAAATAGTAGTAGATATATCTCCGTTTTTCCCCATTGACCTCCCCCTAACCTCCCCTCACCCCTAGCATATTCACACACATACACACACACACACACACACACACACACACACCCTAGTGTCTTGTGTACCTTAGTTATGCTTATATGCATGCATACAAGTACTTTGGTTGATATCTTACCCCCCAAAAAAGCACTCCCCTGCAAAGAAGCATTGAACAGACTGTCAAACTACAGTGGGAAGGCAGGGGAGGGTACAACTTTAATGTCACATGCTCTTTGAAGTTGAGAGAAAGCAACATATAACTGACCATGTCCTAAAACAGGTTTAGGTAGGAATATTCCAACTCTGTCTAGAGTTTGTCCTTGTGATTTATTAATAGTCATCGCAAATGCTGGCATCACGGGAAACTGTCTTCGAATTAATTTAAATGGGAGGTCAGTGTCAGATGGGGACAAATCAGTTCTTGGAATCAGAACAATTTCCTTCTGCAGATCCTGTTAAAACTTCAGCTTTGATTATGTTAGCTTGCAATCTTTTGATAATAAATCTAGTACCATTACAAAGACCCCATTTACTGTTAAGATTTCTCAGTAGCATGATGATTGCACCAACTTTCAATTTTAATTTATAACACAGAATTCTCAAAGGAGTAATATTAAGAAATTCAATGGGAAATTTTTCCTTGTGCAAGTCAATGTTTATTTTTAAATTGCCAGTGCATGTCATATGTATCATTTGGTTAAATGGACATATGATTGGTCACTTATCCTTTTATAAATATAGATATTATATATACTATTTTGACATGTAATTTTTGCAGTAACATAATTACCACATGAACCTTTCTTCTAATTAATTTTATTTCATTATGCACAAATCCATACACCAGGCCACTAGTATAATTATAAAAAGCCAGTGATGGTATATCTACATTTATTTACACACCAAAACACTGAGACTTGGAAAGGTTAAGAAAATAGTATGTGGCAGACCTAGGATCTGAACCCAAATCCATGGGCCTCAGCAAGACCAAACTGGACCGTCTTCAGAGTTGCCTAGCAGCAGTAACCTCCTCTTACTAAAGGAATTTCAGCAGAGAATATCCAATGTCAGGAATATATAAAATGAAGCCCTCATTGAGAAGAAGGCTGTACTAGGGGATTTCTGGGCTGCTTTTCAATTCTGATATCAGATTCTTTAAGTAATCAAATTTTTGAGCAAACACAACTCACTTTTTTAAAAACTTGACAAATTAAAATCATATAGCTAGGAGAGGTTATTTTTACTTTCTAACTGCCTTTATTTTAATTCTTTTAAAAAGGGGAGAGAGCCGAAACTGGTTTGGCTCAGTGGATAGAGCATCTGCTTGCGGACTGGAAGGTCCCAGGTTTGATTCCGGTCAAGGGCATGTACCTTGGTTGCGGTCACATCCCCAGTAGGGGGTGTGCAAGAGGCAGCTGATCGATGATTCTCTCTCATCGATGTTTCTAACTCTCTATTCCTCTCTGTAAAAAATCAATAAAATATATTTTAAAAAATAAAATAAAATAAAATGGGGGAGAGAAAGAGCTTTACTTTGATATTGAGTGGGTAAATCAGCATCACTGCATTTCATAATTCAATAGTTAGCTATTCATTAATCTTTTTTTTAAAAAGGTTTAGTATGCATCTGTGTGACCTGCACTGTAATAGGTGCAATGTATAAAATGGCACACAAAACCCAGAGGTTTCTGTCTTATTTCTGAAACTGGTAGTCTGTAGCCTTTAACATAAATTAATGAACTATAACTATAAATTAATATGTGAAAAATTAGGGTTGTATGAAATAGTCCACTTAGCTCAAATTTTCTACTAAAGTATCCCTAACAGCTAAGAAGAATAAACACCTTGTACTCATGGAAGGTCTAGGGAAACAACTTAAAAGGAGGCCTTTACCAGTTGCATTTGTGCAACACAGTATAATTAATCTGTGTGTTAATATACAATTATTTTAAGTTACCATAACCACTGTCACTAAAATTGAAATCCAAGTTGCTTTGCATACCCACCAGAACATTGCCTTTTATCTCCGGGAGTACATACATCCCAGTTTAATAAGTTACAGCTTATAGAAGAACCTTATATTAATAGTTTTATTCCCATTGAGAAAGATCTTTTCAGTGAAACCTTATAGATATAGGAAAGAGATATTTACATGATTCATTCATAGATATTCATACTTGTTAAGTTCTATGGGATATTTCATTTACTTTTCTTTCCTCTAATAGTTTATCCTACAGATGGTTAAGTAGATTGAAATTTAGAAAATTACATTGGTGAGACAGAATAAGAAAAAAATACTTAGAAGAATAGGTTGTGATATATTTTTGGTATTTGAGACTGCTTTGAAGTTTTAAAGGTTCGCAGAAATATTACACACATATGCAGAGAAAATACCCTTATTGATTAGCACACATAGGTCTAAAGTTTTACTAGTGTTTATAACATTTATGTGGATTTTTAACTTGAAATGATTTTAAATAAAATTGTACCACAAGCATACATGTAAACTCTTTTAAATGATTATGTTTGTTTTAGGGGAAATGTGTAAACATAAAAATTTATAAATATATATTTTTGTTATTGTTTAGGAGAGAAGCCATATGAATGCCCAAACTGCAAGAAACGTTTTTCTCATTCTGGTTCCTATAGCTCACACATAAGCAGTAAGAAATGTATCAGCTTGATGCCTGTGAATGGGCGACCAAGAACAGGACTCAAAGCATCTCAGTGTTCCTCGCCATCTCTTTCAGCATCACCAGGCAGTCCTACACGACCACAAATACGGCAAAAGATAGAGAATAAACCCCTTCAAGAACAACTTTCTGTAAACCAAATTAAAACTGAACCTGTGGATTATGAATTCAAACCCATAGTGGTTGCTTCAGGAATCAATTGTTCAACCCCTTTACAAAATGGGGTGTTTAGTGGTGGTGGCCCATTACAGGCAACCAGTTCTCCTCAGGGTGTGGTGCAAGCTGTTGTTCTGCCAACAGTTGGTTTGGTGTCTCCCATAAGTATCAATTTAAGTGATATTCAGAATGTACTGAAAGTGGCAGTAGATGGTAATGTAATTAGGCAAGTTTTGGAGAATAATCAAGCCAATCTTGTATCCAAAGAACAAGAAACAATCAGTGCTTCATCCATACAGCAAGGTGGCCATTCTGTTATTTCAGCCATCAGTCTTCCTTTGGTTGATCAAGATGGGACAACCAAAATTATCATTAACTACAGTCTTGAGCAGCCTAGCCAACTTCAAGTTGTTCCTCAAAATTTAAAAAAAGAAAATCCAGTCCCAACAAACAGTTGTAAAAGTGAAAAGTTACCAGAAGATCTTACTGTTAAATCTGAGAAGGACAAAAGCTTTGAAGGAGGGGTAAACGATAGCACTTGCCTTCTGTGTGACGATTGTCCAGGAGATATTAATGCACTTCCAGAATTAAAGCACTATAACCTAAAGCAGCCCGCTCAGCCTCCTCCGCTCCCTGCACCGGAAGCTGAGAAGCCGGAATCTTCTGCTTCATCAGGTTCTGGAGATGGCAATTTGTCTCCCAGTCAGCCACCGTTAAAGAACCTCTTGTCTCTTCTAAAAGCATATTATGCTTTGAATGCACAGCCAAGTGCAGAAGAGCTCTCAAAAATTGCTGATTCAGTAAACCTACCACTGGATGTAGTAAAAAAGTGGTTTGAAAAGATGCAAGCTGGACAGATTTCGGTACAGTCTTCTGAACCATCTTCTCCAGAACCAGGCAAAGTAAATGACTCTGCAAAGAACAATGATCATCCTCAGTCTACAAGTGCAAATGAATCTAAGGACAGCACAACAAATCTACAAAGTCCTCTGAAGATAACTAACTCCCCAGTTTTACCAGTGGGATCAACCGTCAATGGTTCCAGAAGTATTACATCTTCCCCATCACCTCTAAACCTTTCTTCATCCAGAAATACACAGGGTTACTTGTACACAGCAGAAGGTGCACAAGAAGAGCCACAAGTAGAACCTCTTGATCTTTCACTACCAAAGCAACAGGGAGAATTATTGGAAAGGTCAACTATCACTAGTGTTTACCACAACAGTGTTTATTCTGTCCAGGAAGAACCCTTGAACTTGTCTTGTGCAAAAAAGGAGCCAGAAAAGGACAGTTGTGTTACAGACTCAGTACCAGTTGTAAACGTAATCCCACCAAGTGCCAACCCCATAAATATTGCTATACCTACAGTTACTGCCCAGTTACCCACAATCGTGGCCATTGCTGACCAGAACAGTGTTCCATGCTTAAGAGCACTAGCTGCCAATAAGCAGACTATTCTGATTCCCCAGGTGGCTTACACATACTCTACTACAGTCAGCTCTGCAGTCCAGGAACCACCCTTGAAAGTGATCCAGCCAAATGGAAATCAGGTAAAAACAAACAAACAAACAAAAACCCTCCTATCCCAAACCTGTTTAGTAAAATGCTAGTTTGATTTATTTATTTTTAAATTTATTTAGCAATATTACAAATTTATTTTAATAAGAAGCAGTCAAAATTTTGGAAAATGTAATATTTTTCTAACATTTAAGTGGAAAATTTTAAGCTTAGAAATATTGTACGTTTTGCCCTGACCGGTTTGGTTCAATGGATAGAGCATCGGGCCATGGACTGAAGGGTCCCGGGTTCAATTCCAGTCTAGGGGTTGCAGGCTTAATCCCCAGTGGGGGTGTGCAGGAGGCAGCTGATCGATATTTCTCTCGCATCGATGTTTCTGGCTTTCTATCCCTTCCATTCCTCTCTGTAAAATGTCAATAAAAATATATTTTAAAAATAAGAAATATTGTACATTTTGGAAATGAACAAAAAGAAACTGGAAAATGAAATTTTATAGAGCCATGCAGGTTGCTACAAACTGTCACTTTTAAAAGCAAATAGATGAATTTTTGCTTTAACTTAAAGCATAATGCCTTTGTTGTTTCCTAATCCAAGGTATAGTTATCAACTAAAGTTTAAAGTGTTAGTCTACTATGAAAAATGGTTGGTAAGTCTCAGCTAAAGTCTTAACTGTTTGAAGCTAGAGACAGAAAAGAAAGATTGGAATACTAACTAATTGGATTTCTCTTTTTATAATGATTTCTGCCTTGATTATGGTCATTAATAAATTAAAATATGTTCCCATACACAGACATTCCCCAACAAGCAAACTTAGCTGTCACTTTTTATGTGTTAGTAACTCTGTTTCAAAAGGCTTTAATTAAACAGAATTAAGTATATTAAGAACTCAGCTAGTAAATTTACTGATCACTTTATGAGCTGTGATAAAACAATGTTAAGTTATATAATAATTAATATATATGAGAAAATATGATTGTGAATCATATGCATTTTTCTTTTTAACTTTCTCCCAAAATTCATGACAGTTCTGAGTAGAAATATTATGTGTGATTGTGATATATATCATTGTCCAGGCTTTTGTTTTCACTAACATGTCTCTCCATTTTTTCCCATAACTTTTTTTATTAAATAAAATGATTCATCCTTTTTTCAAACATGTTCAAATGTGTTTAATATTCTCTCCCACCCCACTTAAATATTGCTATCAGTTGGATTTTCTGTAATTTGTGATGACTCAAAAAACTTTTCATATGACCAGTAAATTCATCTAAATTTTTAGTGTATAGAACATAATGCACACCTTTTAATAATAGATGGGGAACCACTAACATTTCCGTTATGACTAGATCAAGTAGCAGTGAAAGTGAAGCCAACTTACTTAGCACTCACTGGCAGTTCAGAAATGACCCAGACAGATGACTACTCCTCTCTTAGCTTACAAAGCTGTAAGAAATGCTGTGGAAAACCTTTAAACTTATAGAAAATTTGTGGGTTTAGAGATAACAGAATGGAAGACATTAAAATAAGACACAAAAGGATCTTAGGGGACCAAATATTCTACAAGATCCCTGTAGGATTATCCTACCTACTCAAGGACCTCCTGCACAAAATCATCTCCCTGAGCCTGTCTGAAATGTTTCTACTGCACAGAAATTCTAAAGATTCATTTTAACTTAACAAGTATTCTTGTTTAAAAATATCCCTGCATTGTTTTTCCTCTTCGTCCTTAGAAAATGATAGAGTAAAATTCTCTTTTCAAGGAGACCATAGAAGTTAGTTCACAGGACTCTGAAGCTATAAAAGGTACAGTTTGAAGACCACTTTTAAACATATAATCTTAATTTTTGCTTAGTGAAACCCAGAATGAAGAGATGAAAATAAAGGATGCAGTTAGATATTAGTGATTATTTAACAAACTCAAAGTTAAAATTTTCTGCAAATTTCTCATGAAGTAATGATTCACAGGGAACTAAGTAAATTTTGTTACCATACATTTTTTCATTTTTTCTTTTTGGTGTCCTTTTATTTCTGTGTCAGTTAACCTAACCAGGTGCTTTTGTTACAGTTGTGACTATATTGCCCCCAACTTCATTTTCATCTACATCAACCCCAACCTCTCATCTAACCCCACTGATGGAGCCCATTTGCAGTGATAAACAGTGTGCTTGCTTTGATCAAGCTGTTGAAAGTATAAATCAAAGTAGTTCTTTAACCTACACTTTTATTTATATCTCTTGTATCTTTTAAATTTAAATTAAGTTTTCTTATTCCTTTTCTATCTTTAGGATGAAAGGCAAGACACTAGCTCAGAAGGGGTATCAAATGTAGAGGATCAGAATGACTCTGATTCTACACCACCCAAAAAGAAAATGCGGAAGACAGAAAATGGAATGTATGCTTGTGATTTGTGTGATAAGATATTCCAGAAGAGTAGCTCATTATTGAGACATAAATATGAACACACAGGTATGTTAATGAACCTAACACTTTTTTTTAAATGAGCCTATAAACCTTTTCACAATCTGAAGTGCCTTGAAATGCTTTGTAAGAATTTTATTTGCTTAAAACCACCATTCTATTTCATAGCTGTCTTATGTTTTGCAGGTAAAAGACCCCATGAGTGTGGCATCTGTAAAAAGGCATTTAAACACAAACATCATTTGATTGAACACATGCGGTTACATTCTGGAGAAAAGCCCTATCAATGTGACAAATGTGGAAAGCGTTTCTCACACTCTGGGTCTTATTCTCAACACATGAATCATCGCTATTCCTATTGCAAGAGAGAAGCAGAGGAACGTGATGGCACTGAGCAGGAAGAAGCAGGCGCTGAGGTCCTAGCAAGTGAGCATGTCGGTGCAAGGGCATCTCCCTCACAGGTTGACTCAGATGAGAGAGAGAGTTCGACTAGGGAAGAGGATGAAGACAGTGAAAAAGAGGAAGAGGAGGAAGAGGATAAAGAGATGGAAGAACTGCAGGAAGAAAAAGAATGTGATAAACCACAAGCAGATGAAGAGGAGGAAGAGGAAGTAGAAGAGGAGGAGGAAGAGGAGGAGGAAGTAGAGATGGAAGAGGAGGAAGAAGAGGCAGAGAATGAGGGAGAAGAAGCAAAAACTGAAGGTGCCATGAAGGATGATGGAGCTGTAAATCAAGTGAGCAGCTTAGAACAAAAAGTAAGTGAGGATAGTGAGCAAGTGTCTGAAGAAAAAACAAATGAAGCCTAATAGTTTTTTTAGAAGGAAAATAAATTCTAATTGGTAATGAAGTTTGTTCTATATTATACATGCTTTTCATGGAAACACAGTAACCTGAATACTGTGATTTCTGTTCACTACTGTGTAAAGTAAAAATTAAAAAAAAAAATACAAAATACAAAAAAAAAAGAAAAGAAAAAAAACACACACACACAAAAAAAAAAAATCCAGGTGTGCCTGAACCTCAAACCTAGTAATTTTTCGTGCATTTTTCAAAGTTAGGGACAAGTTTGAAAAGTGAAGCAGATTAGAAAACTTTAATGACTCAGAAAGCAAAGATGTTAACAGGTTAAAGAAAACTGATTAAACATCTAGTACTGTTTCATTTTATCAGTATTAATTATCACTCTTATGTTGGTTTATTCTTAAGCTGTACAATTGGGAGAAATTTTATAATTTTTTATTGGTAAACATATGCTGAATCCACTTCAGTATTTTATTATGTTTTTTTTTATGTGAGAACTTCTGCACTACAAAATCCCCTTCATAAAGAAGTATAATGTAGTACCAAATTGTGCTAACTACCTTTTATAAATTCAGTCTCAAAGGTAGTACTTTCTAATATTTAGATGTCAGAGTACAGTGTATTCTCATTTAAAGTGTATTGTCAGCCTTAAGAAAGCAGCCAGTAGAGGGACAGAAGTCTCTTACTCGTGTGGTTTAAAATAGAATTCAAAAGGTTGTCATTGGGTTCTGATTGCAGGGACTAACAGTGTTAATACCAGTAAGGACAGGAGAGTCTTCACGATCAGTGTTTGTAATTGTGTTTGAGTATGTGGTAACAAATATGAAGGATATGATATGAAGCTTTGTATCTCCTTTGGCCTTAAGCAAGACCTGTGTGCTGTAAGTGCCATTTATCAGTATTTTTAAGGCTCTAACCCGCCTTCATTTAATGTGTGGCCTACAATAACTAGCATTTGTTGATTTGTTTGTTTTACCAAAATTCCAAAATAAAACTTAACCACTGACTGTCAGAGAAACTGAAACACTGGGACATTTCATCTTTTAATTCCTCAGTATCCATTTTGTGTTAATTGACTTTCAGAATTTCTCTACAGAAATGAAAGGGAAATTTTCTAATCTGCTTAATCCATGCACTTGCATTTCTGACATGGACATGCCATTGTTATTTGTCTCATAACTGTTTCCAAATGTTAGTTATTATGGACCCAGTTTATTAACAACATTAGCTGATTTTTACTTATCAGTATTATTTTATTTCTTTTAGTTTATAGATCTGTGCAACATTTTTGTACTGTATGTCTTCAAATTTGGCAGTATTAATACCCTTCTTACTGACATATGTACTTTTAGTTTTAGAAAACTTTTATATTTATGTGTCTTATTTTTATATTTCTTTATTTATTACACAGTGTAGTGTATAATACTGTAGTTTGTATTAATACAATAATATATTTTAGTATGAAAATTTGGAAAGTTGATAAGATTTAAAGTAGAGATGCAATTGGTTCTCTTGCATTGAGATTTGATTTAACAGTGTTATGTTAACATTTATACTTGCCTTGGGACTGTAGAAAAGAATTTAAATGAGAATGTATTAGTTTTACAACTACAATCAAGTCATTTTACCTTTACCCAGGTTTTAATATAAAACTCTTAAATTTTGAAATTCACTGTGTGACTAATAGCATGATGCTCTGCAGTTTTATTAAGAGATAGCCTAACCATAAAACTCTCATTTTCTTAGTAAGCCAAATTAGGATAACCTTATATAAACAGTGTTGGGAACAATGTTTAACATTTTGTGCCAATTTGTTCCTGTATTCATGTATGTAAGTTACAAAATCTGACTCTTCATTTTTAAGTTCCTTGTTACACCATGATCATTTTCTAGTTTTTTACCAGACTCCCCATCTCACAATAAAATGCATCAACAAGCCTGACCTGCTGTCATCTTTTAATCCTTATCATGACTTTCTTTAGAAAACTCTGTGAAATGGGGTATTACACTGTCATTCTGCACTTGATTTATGTTTGGCTGACAAACTAAATGTTTTATACATTCAACCCTAACTTAGAGATGTTCTTGGGGCTCTTTCTGGGAAAGTCAGAATTGGCATCTAAGGCCTCCTCAGAGGTGGCTTCCTCTTCCTGAAACCCTGAACTTTTTATCCCGTGACTTCCCATCCTTCAGGTCACTACACGGAAGCCTGAGTTAGGATGCCTTTCCTCTGTGCTCCCTCAGCTCCTTGTACCTTTTTATAATAGCTCTCAGGCAGTTGTTCATATTTTTCCCTTAGGAACAGAGGCCATGTTTACCATAGTTACTCTCACCTCTTCTGTGCTGCGCAGAGTGCTTGGCACCAGTAAGTACAACATTGAATGAAAATATAATTTGCATGTTAACATAGCTCAGCTATGTTTACACTATTCTGCTTCTAATTGAGAATATATATGTTAAATGATTCCAGCAATTTGATAATTTTCTTACGCAGGTCCTATTACACTAGACAAAAGAGACAAATACTAAATTACACTTTTTTATTGTCAGACTGTTCTGATTTGAGAATTTATTTCTAAGTGTATTTCTAGTGTTTTACTTCATGTTACATGACACAGGTATTCAGGGCCTGTGGATAGATGATATGATTCCCTCCCACAGAAGTGATAGACCAGTCCTAGTAGACTTTATTTTAGGACCCAGTTCCCTTTTTAAAGCCTCACACTACTAGGTGCTCCTTAAAGTCAGGTTGCTTCATTTCTTCTGTCACTGAGAACAGCTCCCTAACAAGCAAACACATTGTACAGGGCTAGGAAATAAGAATAAATAACCCTTCTTGGGAGGCATTTATACTATAATCACTGTAATGAGCTCAGAGAAGGCAGTGCTTAATACATGTGGATAAATGGCCAATATAGGAATCTAGGCATTATCAGAAAAGTTTTTGAAAAGTAAAATGTGTGAACACTTCCCAGTATTCCCTTAAAATGCATAACAACAATGCCATATGTTATTTACTTGTGCCATGCAGAGGTGCTTTGCTGCTATTATCAAAATTAATTTTCACAAAAGCCTTACAGAATTTGAAGACCATGTGCCCATGAACACATACAATTGAAGTATCAGAATAAGTATTTGAACACAGGCCTATCTGACTTTAAGATTCATTCTCTTAACTAGCTATATCACATCTTATGTAAAAATAACTTATGCTATCCACATATAAACTCTAATATGGTCTTAAAGAACATGAGTAGAAAATGTCAACAAGACCAATATACATTTCATAACATGTATAAAAAAAACAGAGGGTATGGGGTTTTTTAAATACATGTGCAAAATTAAGATTACCTTGGAAGCTTGAAAATGTACACTTCGAACACATTTCTTCTTTTAGGATAAATGGGAGTGTATGTCAAGATAATCACAATATGGACTTTGTTTCTGAAACTAAAAAAAAAAAGTGGCAGCTCTGCTCTGCTCTATGCATTCCATTCAACCCCCCCCCCTTTTTTTTCCAACAACACATGTTGTTCATAAAGAAAAACCATATTATGGACCATTAACCAACTCCCAAATTTAAAAGAATTGCAAACAAAGTGTTTTCTCTGAATACAAAAGAATTATACTAGCAGAAATATATCTGGAACCCTCCCCCAAATTACTGGATATTGGCAGCATATTTCTAAGTAAACCATGGGTAAAAATTAAGATAACAATTATAAAATATAAACTAAATGAGAATGCAACATATCAGAACTTGTGTGTAGCAAAAGCAGTGCATATACGAAAACTTAAATACTTATATTAGAAACAAAGATCAGCTCCACCTTTCTGATCAGGCCCGGAGATGCTCTTAAAGAGATGCAAGACTAGTACAATATTTGCAAACCAATAAGTGTGATACATCACATAAACAAATTGGAAGACAAAAATTACATGATCATATCAATTGATGCAGAAAAAGCATCTGATAAAACCCAACAGCCATTTATGATAAAAACTCTCAGCAAAGTGGGAATAGAAGTACCATACCAAAACATAATAAAAGCCATGTATGACAAACCTACAGCCAACATCATACTCAATGGGAGAAAAACTAAAACCAAAAGAAAATAAAACTGAAACCATTTCACCTAAGAACAGGAACAAGACAGGGACATTACCTTTCTTATTAAAAATAGTACTGGGGATCCTAGCTTCAGTGATCAGACAAGAAAAAAATATAGAAGGCATCTAAATTGGAAAGCAGGAAGAAAATCTGTCATTATTTGCAGATGACATGATATGTATAGGAAACCCTGAAGACTCCACCAAAAAATTACTAGATTTAATAAATGAATTTGGCAATGTAGCACTATATGAAATTAACACCAAAAATCAAAAGCATTTTATACCCCAATAATGAACTCTCAGAAAGAGAAACTAAAATAAACAAAAAAAACAAACACAATCCTTTTTACTATTGTAGCAAAAAAATTAAGATGCTTAGGAATAAATTTAAGCAATGAAGAAAAAAACATTCAGAAAATTATAGAACATTAAAAAAAGAGAGAGGAAGCTATAAAGAAGTGAAAGGATACATTGTGTTCATGGATTAGTAGAATCAACATCATTAAAATGTCCATACTACTCAAAGCAATCTACAGATTCAATGCAATTCCTATTAAAATACCAAAAGCATATTTCACAGACCAAGTATAAACACACCCAAAATTTATATGAAACCAAAGAAGAACCTGAATAGCAGAGCAATCTTGAGAAAGAAGAACAAAGTTTGAGGGATCATAATACCAAATATCAAGTGATACTACAAAGCCTCTGTATTCAAAAGAGCCTGGTTCTGGCACAAGAACAGACATATAGCTCAATGGAACAGAACAGACAACCCATAAAGCCATTATGCTCAGTTAATGTTTTACAAAAGAAGCAAGAGCATACAATGAAGTCAAGACAGTCTCTTCAATAAATGGTGTTGGGAAAATTGATCAGATACATGCAAAAA